AGCTGCTACATAGGAGATGCTACACACAAAGTTACAACATGGAAAGCTACATCATGACATCATTACCATGTGCTAGAGGGGAGCTGCTACACAGGAGATGCTACACACAAAGTTACAACATGGAAAGCTACATGATGGCATCATTACCATGTGCTAGAGGGGAGCTGCTACATAGGAGATGCTACACACAAAGTTACAACATGGAAAGCTACATCATGACATCATTACCATGTGCTAGAGGGGAGCTGCTACATAGGAGATGCTACACACAAAGTTATAACATGGAAAGCTACATGATGGCATCATTACCATGTGCTAGAGGGGAGCTGCTACATAGGAGATGCTACACACAAAGTTATAACATGGGAAGCTACATGATGGCATCATTACCATGTGCTAGAGGGGAGCTGCCACATAGGAGATGCTACACACAAAGTTATAACATGGAAAGCTACATGATGGCATCATTACCATGTGCTAGAGGGGAGCTGCTACATAGGAGATGCTACACACAAAGTTACAACATGGAAAGCTACATGATGGCATCATTACCATGTGCTAGAGGGGAGCTGCTACATAGGAGATGCTACACACAAAGTTATAACATGGCTAAAGCTACATGATGGCATGTGCTAGTTACAACATGGGGAGCATCATGCTACATAGAGGGAGATGCTACATGCACACAAAGTTATAACATGGAAAGCTACATGATGGCATCATTACCATGTGCTAGAGGGGAGCTGCTACATAGGAGATGCTACACACAAAGTTATAACATGGAAAGCTACATGATGGCATCATTACCATGTGCTAGAGGGGAACTGCTACATAGGAGATGCTACACACAAAGTTACAACATGGAAAGCTACATCATGACATCATTACCATGTGCTAGAGGGGAGCTGCTACATACGAGATGCTACACACAAAGTTATAACATGGAAAGCTACATGACGGCATCATTACCATGTGCTAGAGGGGAGCTGCTACATACGAGATGCTACACACAAAGTTATAACATGGAAAGCTACATGATGGCATCATTACCATGTGCTAGAGGGGAGCTGCTACATATGAGATGCTACACACAAAGTTACAACATGGAAAGCTACATCATGACATCATTACCCTGTGCTAGAAGGGAGCTGCTACATAGAAGATGTAAGATTGTAAGATCCATAAGGTGTTGAGAGTAGATGCTTCCCAATCTGTTGATATAGGCAACTACAGTTGTGTTGTCTTTGGCAAATACTTGTGGTCTCATCTCCAGTATGTTGATACGGACTGGTGCCTGTAGCTCCCTGATGCCTTCATGTCTTCTAGATGAGCTCCCCAGCCTGTCAGTGAGGCATCTGTGAAGAGATCCACCAGGCAAGCTCCCTGAACACTTACTAAGGTCTGTAAGTGTTCCGTTTGGGTTAGGTTATGATTATCCAATTCTGAGGGTATCTGAGATGTCGACAGCCTCTGAATGTGAGATGCTGCATAGTTGTAAGCATTACAAATAGTGGTATCCATGGCATCAGAGTGTTTTGAGATTCTTGTTAAGGCATCTTGGTAGCATTCCAACAGTGGATAAATGATATCTTGAGTGTCAAACATGGCTCCTATGCACTTCTGTACTTTCTTGTGTTACATGGACCTGAAACACCAAATTTCCAAAGAAATCCTTGAGATAAAGTGAGTAGTCTAAAACTTGTCTACGTTTACATTTTGTGACTAGAATTCATCGAGATAGGATGAATTCTGATATGCTATAGATGAAAGATATGCCAGAACTGAGGCTATTATCATCATAAAAACAACGAAGCTTTTGATATACCAAATGGTAGGACCCTGAATTGAAATAGTCTCTTGCTGACAGCAGAGCATCGATGTTTCTGAAAGTCCGGATGGATAGGAACATGGAGATAGACATCCTGCAGATCTATGGAGATCATAGAGTCCCTCATGTAGAGCATCTGTCTGAGGTTCCATATGGACTCTATCTGAAACTTGAGTATCAGGTATTCCTGTTTGAGGATTTTTAAGTCGATAATCATTCTGAGCTTGTAGAATCCTTCTTTGGTTCCAGAAAATACCAGAGAGAAGAACCCGCAGTCCCTGATCTGCTGGGTTGGGTTCAGCATGGTAACAGCTTCCTTGTCAATGAGTTTGTGAATCGCTGTCATCTCCGCTGAAATAAAGGGCTCGTGCTTGTGATATCTCAGATGATGACACAGTGAGTTCTGATGATGTCACAGATGGCATTACTTCCACCAATGCTATCTCACCAAATTGAAGACGATATTTATCTTTGATGACCTTGAGGATCCATTGATGTGTCATAAAGATATTTCAATTTTCGATAAAATGGCTACCTATTGAACCCTGCACACCTTCACCAGCTAAAGCCTAGAAACTGTCTCTGATATGAGGTGAGTGTCGTTGATGTTGCTGTCATATAGGGAGCACTGGAGACTTAGACCAGGCGTAGCAAATTTCCTCGCTGGGAAGGACTTGAACTATCCTCTGGACGATGTCTTGGTTGACACCCCAAAACCACTTCTGTAGGCGTTCCGTGGTCTTCTCCCTACCAGGCCCCTGACAAAAGGGATTGCTTGGCTGTACCCCCACTTTCAGCATTTTCTCACATTTGCCATAAAACAGCTGGTTCTGCCCATGTAGCATCTGGGCTGTAACGTCAGCAATCTCTAGTTTAACTGAGGACAGATCACCAGTAGTTAAAACCCTGGTTACAATTGATCAACTTATGGACTCATCAAAATTTCTGATTCTCCTCTCCTTAATCCTCATATGCTCTGGAACTTTGACTTCAAATCCTTAGAGGTATTTGTTTACAGAGGGAGATGATAATGGCAAAACTCACTGTTGCATATGAATCCCTCCCTGCTGCTGGTGTGACCTGTATGATTATCCTGGGACGGACGGCTGGTGTGGTCTATGTAGCTAGACGGATCTATGTTGTTGGTGTGGTCTGTGCGACCAGGCTGGTTCGTGTTTCTGGTGTGGTGCATGCGTTGGAATCCAAAGCTTCCACTGCTGGGTCCAACAACTCTAACTCCATACCAGTAATACGATCCCTCTCTGAAAAAACCTGTGCAGCCCATGCAGGTATCTCCATGGCTGTTGAGTTGCGTTCTACAAAGTCATGCAATGTAGATGGATGCCAAGGGCTGTGGAGATAATGCTGCGTAAGACATGGTCCATGTGGTCTCTATCACCCTTACGGCTGGTGTATGGCTGGCTGCAATTCCCACCATGATGTAGGCCCAACATAGTCAGCATTGGGGCCACTCTAAGTCATGGTGACATGACGATATGCTGTCCAGTGGTGATTTCCCTACCATGGATACAAGGTCACCAGGGTATTCCTCAACTGAGGTCATCATAGCTGACAGCCCTGGCCATTTAGTTGGAGGAGGCACCAACTTTTCTCTAGTCGTCAGTCACTCCGATAAGTCCCTTCATTAGATCTTCAAACAGCTTGAATGCTGTAGATAACACCTCTTTCGTGACAAACGTCAGCTCAGGTGTGGTGATTAAAGGTGATTTTAAGAAACGGATGAACAAGGAAGAAGCCAAACTCCCTCAAGTCCGCCGGAGCCTATGCTGACCGTCCAATACAAACTTCGGCTCAGCTGTGGCAGTCAAAGCTGATTTTTTGTACCATACACACAGGGATAACACCAAACTCCCCCACATAAACCAGAGCCCCTGCCAGTCTGTAACTAGAAAGTGTTTTTACGAGTAAAAACAGATGTCTCCCCCTTCCCCCAATTCAACATTGAGACCTCAAACAATTCATTTGAATCCTTCAATTTCAAAATCTCTAAGTATGAAAATACATATTATTGATAGTATTTTATTATGTTTGTAAAGTCTTCATTTAAATTGTTTATATTCAATTGAACTTAATTGCTGATCACCAAATCAACAACTCCACAGTTATATTTTACAAAACATTCAGAATTCTAAATGATTCTATTTCGAAATGCATGAATGAATCTGTAGTTTTTCAGTCCTCAAAAAGACCAAGTCCAAATTTGTTGCCATTGAAACAGAAAAAATTATAATTGAAAGAAAAGTTCAAACCCCCAAAAGGCACATCTTAATGATATGGAGAGGCAGTATACCAAATTTGGTGAAGATTGTGCAAGTAGTTTTAGAGTTATGTTCCTGAAACAATGGGACGTAGACGCCAACGCTGATGGAAACTCAACTAAAAACAATATGTCTCCCCACCCTTCGGGGGGAGACATAATACATCAGTCTTGATCATGATCAGCATCATCTGTTGTTTCTTCATCAACTTCTTATCCTGCCCTTTCCTAATCACCATAGCATATGTTTAATAGGCTGCTGGTTAAAGAGATGAGCAGACACAGCATCATGTGATGAAAAACATGGCAAATCTACACACTCCCAACATCATCATGGGGATCGCGATGAGACATCAATTTGTCACATTTTGCACCATTTTTTAGTGCCTGAAGATGAAGAAGAAATGTACTTATAACGCCTATAGCTTTTTTCATTGTGTAGAAAACTAAAACCTGGGAAATTAAAACTTGGGAAATTTGGAAGCAAATTAACAGAGAACAAGTAAGCACATGTGATCATGTGTGCCACAGGTAAAATTATGAAGTTTCCTATGCTTTTCAAGGGAGTCAACTCCTTCGGATAGCACTTGAGAAGACTGCTATTAGGACAGCACAACTCAATAGATGTTTACTTTTTTTATTCAGTGAAACCTGTGGATTAGAAACAGGTTTGAGGAAAAAGGCAATCAAGTGTAAGAGGGATGTAGTGCAATGGTGGTATGTTAATAATTGTCTGATATCAGTCATTTTCTAATTCATTGACTAGTGATGAGGAAAGCCAATATCCTCTTCGAGCAGAATTTGACAACTGACATTAGGGCCTCGCTTAATCAATGCAAATGCATTTCTTGTACTACCATGATTCAGTAACACAAAACATCATATATCACTCACCTTTCAATAACTGGCTGAGTGTCCAAAGACCAATGTGAAGAAAGTTTGGGTCCTTTGACTTGAGGAACTTGTCAATATACAACACAATACCAAGTTTATTAGTTTCCCTCAGATCATCTGGTATACCTGATGCAAAAAGATGTATACTGTGGCAGATAAAGCAAGGACAAATAACAGAATCAACAACAATATAAATTATACATAACAACAATTTCCTGCAGAAACAGTTAACCTGCAGTAATTCTTTTTCAGTCAACAATAATATTACATAATGGAAGATTCTCCCCTATTTTCATTGGCCAAGTGATCACATTACTGTCTATATATGCATACTGAACCCATTCCAAGTCTGGTAAGTTACAATATTGACTTGAGTTAGTAAAAATAGCATGAAAGCCCCGATACAAGGATATCCCTAGATTTTCAGCCAATTAGAAGTCTTCTTTCAAGGAGATGGTCGAATATCAACATGGCATCCATGTCTGACAGTAATGTTTCACTGATCTATCTGTTGAAAAACACACCAGTATCTTGGAAAATATTATATAGGAGCGAAAAACATAATATCATGGTTATCAACATAGTATACAAAACCAGATATACATGTTATCAGGGGAAGTGAGTTCAAGGAATCATCAAAATATTTCAAAACAATAGGAAAAATACTGAAGCGATTTGGTTTTACAGAGATCGAACACTACGCTATACCCTCCTATTGCTCATGCCAAAGAAAATAAACTCTGTGACTACACTTGAAACTCTGACAGTCTTGCACTTACAACATACAGCTAGATCAACAGGATTTCCATATTATTAATATTCTTCAATAAATAGAGCATCTTTTTTCAATCCTATCAGATGTCTTTTGCCAATGAAATATGTCTGCAATGACAAACTGATTTACGACAAAGAGAAAAAAATACAGAATAATTTCCAGTAGATTTTAATCCTAACATTTCTTATCTCATGCAGGTATTCATTGATTACATGCTGCAGTTTCTGTGGAGGGTTTTGAGAAAACATTGTGACACTGGAAGTTATGGCTATCAGCATGGATGCAGATTGCAATATGTATGCCTTCACCAGTAGTATATATAATGATAGTCCGAGATCAAGTCCAACAAAAGCCTCTGCAAAGCCTTATTTCACAAATAAAGCTTTTGTTAGGCCCTTAGATCTCGCCACCATTGTATCTACTACTTTTGGACCCCAAGTTAACTCCCCGGCTCCACGTGGCACTATTGTGCCACTATGATGTGTTGACCTCGATGAAACAGTTTAATGTGAATCGCCTATGATCTCTTTGGTGTTCGTAATAAAGGCTTGCTGGGCTTTTCGTACCCCCTGTTCTATGTACTTTTTTTTCTCGTCTTCGCTGATAGCAGACTTATGAGACTCGGACCGGATTTCTTGTTTCATCTTACGGTACTTGTCGAGTTCAGAGAGGATTGAGCGAAACTCCTCCTCCGAGATCTTACTGTCAGTGAGTGCTGCTGAAATACGCTCACTTACTGTGTTCAGTTTTGCTTCAGCCAGAACCCTGATCTCGTCGTGTTTCAATGCCTTACGATGCAGTCTGCGTGATGCAAACTTAAGCACCAACCCTAACACCCCTGCCACCCCAGCTGTTATTTCAATGCCTAGCACTATAGGTGCAGCCACGATGGTAGCTAACAACCCAACACCTGCCGCCCCTAGTCCCATGCTGGTTGCCATAAGGGCAGTGTCAGTCCCGTCCACGACATTGAAAGCTCTATGGTACTTCTTATATAGTGCTTTCCGAGTGTCACGGTCTTGTTCTAGTTGGCGTTTTACATCACATAACTGTCTCAAGCGGAACCCGTCTACGGTTTCCAGGGTCTTCGCTACTTCCTCTACGACTAGGTATAGCCCCATCCTGTGTGCATATAATATATCTTACCAGATATTTTCTAATTGGGCTTTTGTTAAAGAACCACTAAACTTTGTTTTTTGTTACTCTTTTAACCATTACATATGAAAGATTTGTGGTTAGTCTTATGCGGAACACCAAATTTATTCTTTAAAAACTTGTCGTTAATTAATACCGAGCGATTAAAAGTGGCCAAAAAGTCGCCTGCTTCTCTCTCGCCCGCCAACGAAACCACAGACAGGTTACGTAACTCTGTCGCCAGAGCACTGCAGTGACATCATATGAGGAACGATTTTCAGTTAGTTGTATAGAACGTGTGTAGCATGCTCATCATTTTGATGATTTCTCGACATCAACGACTACATGCCGAATCGTTGCTTTGTCGTCAATTGCTCCTATGGGTTGGGCGATGGTGTCACCATGCACAGATTTCCACAGGACCCCGCAGTTCGTGCTAAATGGGTTATGTTTGTGAGTGCGAAGCGAGTGTTGTGGAAGCCTGAAACGATATCTTACTTGTGTTCAGATCGCTTCACGGAAGTTAAAGAATCAAAACTACTTACTAGTTGTAGTAAAATATGTATATGATTGATGACCATAAAGATTTTCCATGACACAACTTGTAACATAACGATTTCTTCCTCGGAAGTGAGGTTGTGGTCGAAGTAACAATAATATTGTAAGTAGTATTATATTGACACCCACCTCGCTGCCAGGAGAGAAATTGTTATGTTATACGCTATGTCATGCAAAATCCTATTGGCCATCAATAAAATAAATATTTTACTACCAGTAGAAAGTAGTTTTGATTTGCTAACTCGGTGAAAACAAACCTAAATAGCATTTATCCTCAGACTGGCGGATGTTCCCGACAGCTGCCGCCATTTTGAAAATCGTAAAGTCTGTTAGAATTAATGAGATTATAGTTTGTTTTCATCAAGTTAGAAAAATCAAAACTACTTTCTACTCGTAGTTAAATATGTATTGGAATCATAACCAAACGGATTTTGCATGACACAGCTTATAACATAATGATAACGATTTCTTCCACGAAGCCGGTAGGTGGGGGTCGGGTTACAATACTGCGCCGATAAATTTCTTGCTACATTCACATGGTTAATGTCCACTCACCAGTATGTAGATACTAGTCAATGTGTGTCTTTATGTTTGGTCTTATAATCCTAATTAGTTTGTTATCATACTTGTATGCATTTTGAAACTAAATAAAAGCAGACTTATAATCTGCTGATACTTATAGTAAATTTATAACAGAACTGTAATAGCTAGACATTTTATAGTTTGCCAATGTGAATCATAATCCGCACACACACCCTAGTGTATGTTGTCTGTCTCATTACACTTCACGGCGAAAACAATGATTCTGTTGAATGCTACGACAAATGAATAAAAACAAAATGCAAATATTAAAATTAAAACAGATTAAAGTTATAGGAACAATATCAGGCCATTACCTTGTTCGAGGAATGTATCCATCAATATCCACAAAACTGTTCCAAATGATGTGTCTTTTAAAAGTTTAATATACGAAGGAGTGATCAATCTTTTCAGGTATTGGTGTATAGTCTCATTGGTCACCCAAGATAGCACACCTGGCAACTAATTGCATAATGTCCGCCTTTCTTTAAAAAACAGTAATTTAGTTAGCCAATAATGGGCAATCAATCAATGTATTGCCAGGTTAATCCTTTGAACGAAGCATGTTGTTTTTACGCAGACACCGACACGACAGAGTGTATTCAGTATAGATTAGTAAATCTACATACATAAACACTACCTTTTGACAATTCCGCTGTGTAAGATAAAAGTAATTAATCAATCAGCGTGTTATCGGTTAATCCTTTGATCGATGTTTATAATGTTGAATATTTACTCCAGACACAAGAAATGCCAAATGGGAACCTTTGTCGGGTAATCTAAGTGTGTTACCACTAATTATACCTGTTATAAATTCATTAACTGACCATCAAGTGAATGATGACAAATAACATGTGTAGGTTTATACCACCTAACACGGGTTACAACAAGGGAGTATTAATTGCTGTATTGTATGTGAAAACTTATGGGCCGACACTGTTTTGAGAATACAAACAGATTTTTACATGACATGATTAAATATCGAGGTAAAAAAACACAGAAATGGGATCAATTTAGATCAGTCATTATACAAATAGGGCCTAACGACACCAATCGATTTTGACAGAATCGTCTATGAAAACAAGTTGTAACTCGGAAACTAGGCAAAGCAGGAGACAAAATCAAATGACAGTAGATTGTGAGAACATATAGCTTTCATTTTCCACAACAATTGTCACGATTTCAGGTTTATACAAGCCTGTAAACAAGATAATTTACCCCCTAAAATGTAGATGAATTCTGCATCGGCCCTCAAAGCTATTCCTCATATGACGTCACAGAGACGCGCCGCTCTGATTGGTTGAAATTTCGTTCGCGGGTGAGAATTGTGCACTGTTGTCAAAAAGGTCGATTTAAGTCAATTAAAGGTCGAAATGAGTAGTTTTAATGACGGGGTTTCATTTATAACGATGCCAGTTAGTGATTTATGTATTTGTACCCCCTAGGGTTTATGTGACCTTTAATAGTCGGTCAACATACTTGAGGCTTATAAGGTTTAGATCCGGGTGTACGAAGATACTGGAAACGATAATAGGTGACTTTTGGGCTATACCAACCCCCGGCAGGTCTATCGAGGTGGGCAGTAATCTCCGTTGGTCCCCCAATTGTATGACGATACGGCAACGTATGGGGAGTGATACGGTGTTATCTCAATATACTGTCACCCCAGTTGAAAGGCGCAGGCCTGAATCCTTAACAATACCCCTTAGCATGACTTCTATCATGAGTGTGGAGCCTGATGCCATAACTAATTGGGTATCGGACTTCAACTCTGACTCCACGGGTGCCATTAACAGGTTGCCCGGGTAGCCGTGTATTGGGTAAGCTAGCACCTCTCCATAACTCAGTATGAAAGACGTGAGGGTGAAGCCGGTGTTCTTAATTTCGGTGACATGCCCCTCTTCATTTAAAGAGATGTAAGGTGAGGTGAGGATTATGTTGATCAGCCATTTGGGTTCTTTAAAGGATGCCAGAGGCTGCCGTATGTAGACACCGTCTCTTAATAACAGGACGTACGAGGCGTCTTCCTTGCCGTGTGTGACGTTGGGGCGATCGACTATTGCTGCCCGCCTATACACGT